CAACCACAGCATGCTGTGGAAACAACAATCCAACAACAATTTAATGTATCAGTTATACATGCCTTTATTTGATCCAAAGGGCCTTACTTGTACACGCACACAGGATATTTGAGTGCCATATGTTTTAACAGTCTTGGTTAAAGTTTTGAATGTAAAACAAAATTTAGGAAGTGATTATTTTATTACAGTAAAGGGGTTAATTATTCACTGGGTTTTAATTTTGCTTTTAATTTCGATGACTGGAAAATGCGCTAAATTAAAACCCAGTGAATATTTAAAATTTAATATAGAACACATTATCTAAATGATGAAACCCACTGAATATGCCAGAAATTTAAACCCAGTGAAAATTAGTCATTTTACAGTATATGCAAAATATAAACACACAAGCAAGTTTCAATTCTCGCAAATGTTCAGTACCTGAATAGAGCTGTCTGCCCGGGTAAGAGAATCAGTGTCCTGTACTTGGTGGCTTGTGTCATTGTCATGGGTGTCCTCCGAATACTGCAGAGTTACCTGTATAAAACAATGATTACAAATAATAATGTTTGAAGAAAAATGTTCATCAGACAAGTGAACGTACGTAATAGCCATAGTCAGTCGTGTAAACGTAAACATACTCGCGGTAAATTCAAATTCAGTGCGCGGCACATAGTCGAACATGAACGAATACAAATACCTACCCTAGCATTTTCTCTTTTAAGAAAAGCAATTCTTGGCCTTTTAGGTGTTGACACAGCCGGATACGCTGGACTTGTATCAGTGCTGTTACTAATACTATCAGCCAAGACGCCGGTATGAATTTTTGGTACGGCATCTTTGTGCAAAGTTTTCCTTCCCGGAACTTGTCCCATCGCACGCATAAACTTGTATTTTGCCGGGTAGCACTCGTCTGTGAAATGGACTGACCAAAGCACGGAATGTTTTGTAGGACCAGGCCATTTAGCTCTTTTCACCCGAACAAACTTCGTCCAAAGTTTGCTCAAAGACGGTCTGTCGAGGGGGAATGCGTGAAGCGAAACACCGTCGAGGTTCGTGTTCCAGCACCCGAAAGCAACGCATCGTTTACCTCGTCTTTCACAATGACTTGACATTACTATTTTAAATACAAAGCCCAAATAAATAAAAAAACTTTCCAAACGCAACAGTTCACGTCTTTGGTTGCAATACACTAAAATAAAACCGTAGAACATACACGAAAATCAACAATAACACAGCTGATCACGAACGACATTTACATATGGTTTACATATCAAAGGCGGCAAACTGATCAGGGCGGTCACACTTATGACGTCACATCCAAGAGGTCATGTAAACGAGGTCAAACCGGGGGAGCTTAGGTGCGAATTTTACAGAATCCGCTATATTTCGTAAATGAGTCATCGGATTTTAAAACAAATTTCTGGTGTTTGATATTTAAATACAAGATAGTAGAATATGAAATAAAATCTAGCGTTCAGTGTACACTTTAACGGTTGCGAGACCACACATTCTTATAGGATTGGGAAATTACGTTCAATTACAACGTGTTTGCTATGTTGTGTATTCAACATAATTATAACTTGGCGAATTGATCATGATCATATGAACATTTCTACTTACAAAATCCTACTTTACGCCGAAAAATTATTCTTTGTGTTTAGTGCTGAGCTGTTTTGTAAAGTACAACAGCAAATATTATGTTTGTGTTTATGAGCAAACACGTGATTATCCAATGCCTGTGTAGCTCTTTCATTACCTTGATTTATTCCTGTCAATTTGAGCGCTAAGGACAACAATTTTACTAATGTTTAAAGGATAGTAAGAGAGTTATAATAGACACTTGAATACTTAATCTGTTTTAAGATGTTTTGAATACAGGATCTAAAGTACACAACTTACTGTGATGTCGTGAGGTGATAGGATGGAAAACGTGTTACAATTAAACAGATTACTTGAAGGGTGTTAAAATTTGCCTATGAGGAAATACATTTACCGACATATTCTCTGAATATAAAATTCGTAACGAATTTTACAAATATTTTAAATATTTTTTGAGGGTGGAAGGTTCTATTACGTTTGGTTTTAGGTGCATTTGTGTAGTTGGTAATGTTGATCTCAGCCTCCGACTCATTAGAATTTGTGCTGGTGACCCGATGTCGTTAATTAGTGTATTTCTATACGGGTCTTTCCCATCATCTCTTGCTTTCTTGAGTAGATTTTTTATGGTTTGTACTCTCTGCCAAACCGTTTGATTGGCTCATGTATGGGCTAGTTGTTACAAGTTTGAAGCCCCATTGTTTAGCAAACTGTTTATATTCAATTGCAATGTATTGTGGTCCATTGTCACTTCTGACTTCAAATGGTATTCCATGTCTTGAGAAGATGGTCTTGATGTAGTTTACAACTGTGCTACATAACTTCAAAAAAACTTGGACTAGAAGTCTGCCACAACCAAATAGTTAGTGTTGTCTAACATAAACAGGTCAGTTGCTACAGTTTGCCATGGACCATCTGGAATTGGCGTTGGTGTCATTGGTTCTTCTGGTTTGATTTGCGATATTCCAGACAAATACTACATTTCGATACCATGTCAACAATTTGTGTGTTCATATTAGGCCAGATCTCTTGCACGTTGCTTTGACTTCTCTCTCCCCATATGACCTATATGTACTAATTTCAACATTCACAGAATGTGGAATCAGTATTATTTCTTCTTTGAATATTACTCCATCCATGATGGTTAGTTCATCTTGGTGCTTCCCGTATTCTTTAATACTGACATGGAGTTGTGACTTGTTCTTTTGCCAACCATTCAGTAATACAGAAGTAAGATGTTTTGCTGTTTCATCTTTAATTATCTGCAACTTCTCATCTGATACTGGCAGATTTGACATTACATGATGCACGACATAGGACAATTCTTCATCCATGGTGCTGTCATCTTTACTTCCCAGTCACTGAGAAGATAAGGGAGCCCTTGACAGCGTATCAGCTGTGACTAGTTATTTCCTTGGCTTGTATCTCAGTGATATGTCATATTTCTGCAGTCTGAGAAGCATTCGATGCAGTCTTGCTGGTGCTGCCGCAAGTGGTTTCTTCATGATGGATTCCAAGGGTTCGTGATCAGACTCAACATGGATTGTCTTACCATAAGTGAACTGGTTAAATCTCTCCAGACCAAACATTACCGCCAATAGCTCCTTTTCAATTTGAGCATATCTGGTCTCAGCGTCAGTCATTGGTCGAGATGCATGAGCTACTGGTCTGTTTTCCTGTAGCAATACAGCCCCTGAGCCAAATTTCGATGCATCACAACTAACAGTTACTGGTTTAGTGACATTGTA